ATAGTGTACCCTCCCTTCAGCGGCTGCCCGACGGGAACCCCTCCGGCGGCTGGGGGGGGGGCGGCGGCTTCGGCGGCCGGGGGGGCCGCGGCCGTGGGCTCGCCACCTGCGGGGCCGGCGGCAAAACACTCGGGGGCGTTCGGGGGGGGGGCGTCCAAGCATGGCCCGAAGCTTTTAGACGGTCGAAGGGCCGCACATGCACCGCAAGCTCGGAGCCTGCGGCGCAAGAAGTCCCCCCTGGACACCGCAGATTGATGTGGAGGGCGCGGCGAGGTTGAGGACTTGAGTGGGCACAAATCCGCCGACCCAGTCGGCGCGTGTGAGACGCTGTCGTCGTCTTCGTCGTCGTCATCGCCAGTCGTTGTCGTCTGCGTCGTGGTTTTCGTCGTCGTCCTTCTGGGTCGGCGGCACCGGCCGCAAGACCTTCACAATATTCGAGCACATAAATCATCACCCATACTGACGTCCCCCTGTAGGGTCGGCGGCACATGCCGTACAGTAAGGCATTCGCGATGTTCGAGCTACAAAATCACCACTCAGATTGAATTCCGCCGACCCCTGGGATTCATCGGCGTGTGAGATGCCTCCCCCTCCCCAAATCCCTTCCCCAGGAGCTTGGTCTGGTCGATTTGGAACGGGGGGGGTCCCCCGGGGCCCAGTCGAACGCGCCACGGGGGGACAGAGGGCCCCAAATCGGGCCAAGAGGGCCCCAAGAGGACCCCAAGAGGCCCCCTGGACGGTCAAGAGGTCCACGAGTCGCCGAAAGATCGATTCAAAACGCTCATGCTGGCCTCCAGACGGCCCAAGAAGCCCCCGAGGCACCCCAAGAAGCCCCCAAAAGGCGTTCCAAGAGGGCCTCCAAAGGAAAAATCGGCCCATTCCCTTTCGAAAACGTATTTGTTTTGCATCTTCGCCTCTTGGGCATTCACAACGTCCAAAACGGCCCAAGAGGCCTTCAAGATCGCTCCAAGACGGGCCAAGAGGCCCCCAAGAGGGCCCCAAAAAGACCCAAGAGAGCCCCAAGACGGCCAAAGCAGCCCAAGACGGCTCAGGATGGCCCCAGGACAGCCCCAAGAGAGAGCCCAGAGGGGGAACCCCAACGGCCATTTCGAGCCTTCGACCCCAAAACGCCTCTGGGCTGCCCCAAGAAGCCCCCAACAGGCCCTCACGGAGCCCCAAGAGGGCCGCAAAAAGCCCCCAAGAGGCCCCCATGAGGCCCCCGAGAGGTTCAACAACTGCCTCCAAGACGCCCCCGAGACGCCTCCCACGAGATCCCTATCAGCCATCCGAGTGCTATGAAACCCGGGTGAACATCATGGCCCCTGCCATGATATCCCCCACTAGCTCCCACCCTCCTCTTGGACGCCCCCCAGAAACATGCGAACGCCCGAGCCGTCGGTGGAGCTCTCTACGGGGCCGCGAAACGTGCGAGGGTGTGCCAAATGGGCGCGGTGGGCGCATGCGAACGCAGCCACTGGGACCCTCAGTGGAGCTCCCTGTGGAGCCACGAAGCGTGTGAGGGGTGAACCAAAATGGGCGCGGTGGGCGCATGCGACCGCAACCACTGAGGCCGTCGATGGAGCTCCCTATGGGGCCACGAAACGTGTGAGAGGTCAACCAAAATAGGTGCAGTGGACGCATGCAAACGCAGCCACTGGGGCCGTCGATGGAGCTCCCTCCAGGGCCACGAAACGTGCGAGGGGTGTGCCAAAATGAACTCGGTGGGCGCATTCGAGCGCAGCCACTGAGGTCGTCGGTGGAGCTCCCTATGGGGCCACGAGACGTGTGAGATGTCAACGAAAATGGGTGCGGTGGACACATGCGGCGAACGCTGGAATTGGGCCGTATGTGGAGCTCCCTATAGGGTCACGAAGCGTGTGAGGGGTGTGCCGAAACAGAGACATGCGAATGGCAGGAGGCAAGGATGGAAGGAGGAAGGAGGGGGGGGAGGAGGAGGAGGAGGAGAGGAGAGGTAAGGGACGCGGGGCGCTGTCTCCTCAAAACCAGGACCAAACACCACAGGATGGTTTTGGAACAGTCCGATTTTGGGGGAGCGGTGAGGAGTCGAAACAAGAAGGACTCGAGCCCCGGGACATGGGCAGTGTACCAGAACAGATGTAAAGCACGGAGGGCTCGAGGCCCACTCGAGGGGGCAAGACATGGGCGCATGCGCAAAGCACAAGGGAGTCGAGCCCCAGTCGAGGGGCAAGATACAGGAACACGCGTGAATCACAAGAAAGTCGCGCCACAAGAGAAGGGCAACATATAGGACCAGATGTAAAACACAAGGAAGAAGTCGAGCCCCAGGAAAGGCTCGGCGAAGCCTATGAGGGCGAAGCCTACGGGGGCCGAACACCCACCCACCCCGTACACGTATACCTTTACAGAAAAGTGTCTCCTTGGCCCTCTTGGGGCTTCCTGGGGCCTCCTGGGGGGTGGGGGTGCCGAAAAGGGGGTCCCGAACACATATCCCAGCATTCCAAAAATGTATCCTGGAGTTTCCTGGGAGCGGAGGGGCCGAAAAACGCTTCCCGATCACATGTATCCCAATACAAAGTGGGGGCGGGAGGGCCAAAAAACGCCTCGGGTACACAGATCCCTGGGGCGTCCTCAAGTAGCGGTAAGACTGCTCTGACGGACTCCCCGGTGCTGCTGAATCGCGAATCAAAAAACGGTTCGGCATCCGCGAGTAGCAGCAAGAATGTTCTGAAGGACCCCCTGTGGTAGTAAACTGCGAAGAGCTCTCAGGCGAACAGCCGTTCTGGCAACCGCGGCACGGCTGACCTGAAGGACCTCCCTGCGGTGCGAAATTGCGACAGAGTCTCAAGCGAAGCGGCCGCTCCGGCATCCGCAAATAGCGGCAAGACTGCTCTGAAGGACCCCCTGTGGTGCTATATTGGGAAGAGGTCTTAGGCGGAAGCGCCCTTCCTGAGGGTCGGGCCCTCTCTGGCCAGGGCCTCTCGGAATAAATTATACGGACGTCTCGCACGGGAGTGTTGCTGCTGTTGGGGGGACGGTTTGGGCGGTAGCCCGAAACGCTTCAGCGTCAGCCTCAATTTCACAAGAAATCAGCCGGCGCCGAGGCGAGAGCGCCAAAGCGGAAATATGGGGTCCAACAATAATGATTGTTGAATAATTTATTTTGAGCGGCTCCCGCCTCATACTTCCTAGCAGTGTGTCCAGGAATCGTGCTCTCGCGCGGGACACCTCGCAATCTGTTCAGACGCGCCACGGGCACTCATGAATCGCACTCTCGCTCGAGACTCGCTCACCATTTCCTTCGGAGTCGCGCTATCGCTCGAGACCTCTCGCGATTCGTACAGGACTGACGCTTCAGCGACCCGCCCGCTCGACCTGGCCGCGTGGGCCCGCCTGCCGGACCCGCCCGCCAAGGCCCGCCCGCCCGACTCACCCGTGTGCTTCTGCATATTGTCTTCCTGCTCCTGGTCCCCCCCTGCTAATCTCTCTCATGCTCATCCTTCTCCCCCTCCTCCTCCTCCTCCGCCTCCTCCTCCTCCGCCTCCTCCTCCTCCAACTCCTCCTCCTCCTCCTCCTCCTCTTCCTCCTCCTCCACCTCCTCCTCCTCCTCCGCCTTTGTCCCTTCCCTCCTCCCTCTCTTCACAAATTGTCGGAGGCTGTGCCTGCCACATGTGGCAGGTAAGGAAGATCTCCCCCCACGGGGGGGGACGATCGAGGACGAAGAGGACGGGAGGACAGGTATCGAGAGTTTGGGATGGAAATACTGAATGACACGCGAGCAGATAAGAGCGAACAGTCTTAAAATGATTGTCGCTGTTGTAGCAGGGGGCCTAGGGGCGCAATCTGAGCAGTAATACTCTCCCTGGCAAATAGAAAGGGTGCAAGTGCCGACGGGCACACCTAAGTTGAGAAATCCAGTGGGCACCAGCACTGGACAGAGGAGGATCAACAACAAGTGTTCTTCAAAGTGCGGGACGTGCATCCTTCTTTCGAGGAGCCACGCGGATCCAAGAGATCCCAGCGGAGCTCCGAAAGTTCATCTTCACGCCGCTGTTTCTCCTTCTGTTCTATTCTTGATAGCGCATGATCCAAGAGCTGCGCTCCGAGAGCCCACGAGGAGGAGAAAGAGGAGAAGGAGGAGGAGAAGAAGGAGGACGAGGAGCAGGACGAGGAGCAGGAGGAGGAGGAGGAGGAGGAGGAGGAGGAGCAGGAGCAGGAGGAGGAGGACGAGGAGGAGGAGGAGGAGGAGGAGAGGAGGAGGAGGAGGAGGAGGAGGCGGAGAAGGGGGAGGAGGAGGGGGGGGAGGAGGACGACCTCTGGCCAGCCCCCAGCTGCTCCAGCTGGTGCCCGAGATGGGCCTCAGCCCTCACCGGGGCCGCCGAACCCGACCGAGCGCGCTGGCCTGCCTCCGCCGGGTGCACTTCCGTGCGCCGGGGGACGCAGGCACGAGGCTCGGGCCTAGACCTCCAGAGACTCGAAGGTGCCGATCGGGCGAGTGCTCAGGGGGGTTGACCCAAATAGGGGGAGGAGGAGGAGGAGGAGGAGGAGGAGGAGGAGGAGGAGGAGGAGGAGGAGGCGACTGCAGACCTACACCAATCCTACCCAGGTAGTCGGTGTAAGTGTTTGTGTATATAATTGGGTGTATCCGCAACCGTGCCCCGAGGCACGAAGCGAAGTGTCCTCTGTTCGAGTTCTCCGGTCTGAATATTGTGAATACTTTCTGAGGGCCCCAGGCCCTGGCCTCCCAGAATTCTTGGGCGCTTTTTGGGTGTGGCTCATGACTTGTCCGAAGCCTCGGAAGCGTGGTTTCGGGGATGGACACAATCCCCTTTAGCAAAACGTGGTTTAGTGAAAACGACCTCGGGCCCAAGCCTGGCGGGCGCAAGCCTGGAAAATGACGGCAGCGGCACCCTCTCGAGAACCGAAAACGGACAATTCACGAATCGACGTGTCAGGGTGGGAGTTCTGTCGACCCCCGACAGTTCGGAATACAAACTTCCAAATTCCCTGAGATGCTCCCACTGGGCCGCCCTGGCGCTCTCCCGGGGTAGACTTGGGCCGTCTTGGAAGGCCGTGGGGGTCGGCCCACGAGGCCGATGTCCTTTTTCAAAGCCGGTCGTTGCTGTGCGAGGCTCGCATCTTCGCTGATAGTTCTTCGCAGCGTCCCAAAAATCTCGCAGGATCGCCCCAAGGCGTCCATAAAGCCCCCAAGAGGGGCCCAAGAGGTCCCCAGGAAGTCAGGAAGGCCTCGAGAGGGGCCCAAGAGGGGGAAACTGAAGGCGCCCTCCCCAAGAGGCTTTCAAGAGGCTCCCGAGAGGCCCCAAAGAGCCTCCAAGAGGCTCCAAGAGGCCTTCTAAGAGACACCAGGAGGTTCGGTGGCAACTCATGGGAGCCTCCCATACCATCTTGTCGGCCCTTGCGAATCGACGCTAATCGACGCTGAATCGACACTAATCCACGCTAAGTCGACGCTAATCGACGCTAGATCGACGTTAATCGACGCTGACCGACGCTAGATCAGCGCTACCTCATCGACTCCCAGACGCCAATCGACGCCAATCGACGCTAAAGACGGAATCAAGAGGGTGTAATGAGGCGGGGCATGTCCTCCTACAGGCGGGTCTTGGAGACATAGAAATTCATCAAAATAATCAAAACTAGTCAACAAAAAAAAGAGCACGAACCATCTTCCCCTGACGATTGTCTATTCTTGAATATTCTTCCTGTAAAAAAACATGCCCGACTTAAGAGTACACCGGGCTCCCATGACTTGCTGCCGAACCAAGAGGCCTCCAGGAACCCTCGGGTCAACGACTCCGGCGCGGCAGCGGGCTGGGCCGAAGGCCCCACCGACAGCCGGCCTCCACCACCGCCCAGTTTGGCACCCGCCACCAGCGGCAACCCCCGCCCCCGGCGCGGCGACGCTGGCACCTGTCGGGCGGGTGGCATTTGACTACCTACCAGACCACCCCAACCCAACCAGAAGACCCGAATTTCGGGTTGGGGGGGGTACGGGATCCGACCCCCCCCCCCACTGGAAATGGAGGGCAAATTGAGGCCTTCGGGTTGGGTTGGGGTGGTTTGGTGGGTGGTGAGCATTGGGGGGGTGACCCAAGCGGGGGGGGAAGAGGAAGAGCCCTGAAGGGGCCCTGTGGGGCCCCATTTGCAGCCAGGCGGGTGCCCAGAAGGAGCTCCAAAGGGCCTCTTGAGGGCCCTTTTCTTCGCCCCCCTTTTGGGCCACCCCCCACTACCATTAGGTCGGGCATGTCCTCCTCCAGGCGGATTCTGAATGAAAAATGTCGAAAAATCAACCGAAACGGTCAAAAACAGTAGAAAAATCGTCTCCAGACTATTTTTTAACAAACTATTTTTGGATATTCCTCCTGTAGCGGAACGGGCCCGACTTACCGTTACCACCCGCCCGAGCCTGGAGCGGCGGCATCGTCTTCCGAGGCGCCGGCGCTGGCCAGGGGCCCCGCGTTCGCCGGCTCGCTCCCGGCCAGGGGCTGGCCGCGCGGCGCCTTGGTTGGGACGCACAGAGACATACTAATAGTATATATCCTCCTTTTAGGCGGGCGTCCGACCCGAACATATAGTATACCCATCTTGTAGTAGATCGTTTCCCGAGCGGTGTGGCCAGAAAGCGCCCGCCACGACGCATATACTATCATATTTTTCAGTGCGCGCGTCGACCCTGGGGGGCGACGCACATATAGTATGAGTATGTTAATGTGACGCCGCTTATTGCCAGGCACAGCTTGCACACGCTTCTGTCATCTGACTGCCTACCAAACCACCCCAAGCCAACCCGAAGACCAGAATTTCGCCCAGATTTCGGGTTTGGGGGGGTACGGGCTGCATATGTGTTTTTTCATTGTTCCCCGACCCACCCCCCTGGAAATGGAGGGCAAATCAGGGCCTTCGGGTTGGGTTGGGGTGGCTTGGTGGGCGGTGACTGTCACCACGGGAAGATCGTTACTCTTGAAGCCGTACGTCGCCTGAACCGACGGCGACGGCACACGCCCAAAATACAGAGGGGAGGAGTCGCGAAAACAACGGCAACATCCCAAACCTCCCTGTGTCAGTGGAAGTGCCATGAGGACGCCCAACCAACCCACTAGTCCCTTCACCTGACAGCGAACCAACGGTCCCAGCTTCTCTCGTGTCCGGCGCCAGCGTGCTCCGGCAGAGCCTTTCGGGAACACGCTGAATGCACCGCCGTCAAGGGTACCTTCCTTCCTCCCCCCTCTTCGCTCCTGCGCGCGCGTGCTGGCAAGAGGGAGTGCCGTCCCGTCCGTAGCTGCTCTTGCCCAGGCCAGTCTGAAGAGCCGGCGAGACCGGCGAAAGCTCACACGCACCACTGGCAAAAAGGCTAAACCACATTATACAGATCACAGGTTAGAGATTGTCAACTGTCGTGTTGCGCGGCAGTCGCACCACACAGGATCAGGTCGGGCGTGTCCTCCTAGCGGGGGATTTTGCACGAAATATGAAAGATAGTCAAAATATTAAAAACTTATCCCGGCAAAGCAACCTCACAGCGATGTGTATAAGCATATCTGGAAGCATTCCCCTTAAGATTCAGGTGAGAATCCAGTTGTAGAATTCTGCTGTTCTCGCAGTCGCAGTCGCATTCGCAGTGACAGTCGCAGTGGCAACGGCCTTAGGATCCAATGGAATCCTAAGGATTCCTGAGGATTCCTGAGGATGCTTGACTATGCCTACGGATTCCTAAGGATGCCTACGGATTCCTAAGGATTCCTAGGGATTCCTAAGGATTCCTATGGATTCCTACGGATGCCTCAACCTGCCTCAGTTTCAGCCTCAGCCTCAGCCTGCCTCGGCTTGCCTCAGCCTCAGCCTCAGCCTGCCTCGGCCTCAGCCTCAGCCTCAGCCTGCCTCAGCCTCAGCCTCAGCCTGCCTCGGCCTCAGCCTGCGTCAGCCTCAGCCTCAGCCTGCCTCAGCCTCAGCCTGCCTCAGCCTCAGCCTCAGCCTCACCCTCAGCCTGCCTCGGCTTGCCTCAGCCTCAGCCTCAGCCTGCCTCGGCCTCAGCCTGCCTCGGCCTCAGCCTGCCTCAGCCTCCCCTCCTCCCCCCCCCCTCCCCCCCCCCCATTCAGCCTCACCTTGTCTCAGCTTCGGCCTGCCTCGGCCTCATCCTCAGCCTCAGCCTCAGCCTCAGCCTTAGCCTCAGCCTGTCTCGGCCTGAGCCTGCCTCGGCCTCAGCCTCAGCCTGCCTGAGCCTCAGCCTGCCTCAGCCTCAGCCTGTCTCAGCCTCAGCCTGCCTCAGCATCAGCCTCAGCCTCAGCCTGCCTCGGTTTGCCTCGGCCTCAGCCTCAGCCTCAGCCTCAGCCTGCCTCAGCCTCAGCCTGCCTCAGCCTCAGCCTCAGCCTCAGCCTCAGCCTGCCTCGGCCTCAGCCTGCCTCGGCCTCAGCCTGCCTCAGATCGGGCATTCAAAATATGGCACAAGACTGGTGTTCTGGGAACACGAAGATCACAAAGTGGCCCACAGTTGGCTCCGGGCAATCAAAATATGGTGCAGGAATTGTGTTCTGGGAACACGAAGAACACGAAGTTGCCTACAGTTGGCTCCGGGCAGTCAAAATTAACCTGGGAATGGTGTTCTGGGAACACGAAGAACACGAAGTGGCCTACAGTTGGCTCCGGGCATTCAAAATGTGGCCTGGGAATGGTGTTCTGGGAACACGAAGAACACGAAGTTGCCTACAGTTGGCTCCGGACATTCAAAATGTGGCCTGGGAATGGTGTTCTGGGAACACGAAGAACACGAAGTGGCCTACAGTTGGCTCTGGGCATTCAAAATGTGGCCTGGGAATGGTGTTCTGCTGGCTCTGGGCAGTCAAAATGTGGCTCCTGGCAATGAAAATGGGGAGTCCCCGGTTTTCCCGGGCACCCGTCCGGCATCAGCCCAGACCCCCCTGGGGAGTCATGATGCTCTCTTTTGAGCCCACTAGAAACCGATCGGTCTTCGCTGTTAGGTAATAATTGGAAATACTAGAAATATCGTCCCCAGACTATGTTTGGACCATGTTTTTGAACTCCTCCTCTGGAGGGGCATGCCGACTTAAACATGGGAACAACGCTGATGAATTTTTCTCGGCATTCTCGGCCTGGCCACGCCTGCCTTGCCGCACGTATCACTGCACCGACCTTGCAGACGTGCTGTAGCGGATTTGTGCGTGGAGTTCCGTCGGTGTACAACCCCGACACGGCGAGCGAAAAAAAAAAAATTCGCGAGGATTGTTCGCGGTCTTCAACCCTGGCCAGAAAAAATCCGCACGAAACCCACCTCGAAATCCGGCACGAGACTCTCCAGGGAAACCCGGGCCCATCCGCTCTGCGATGTTGGCGCCAAGACACGCGCCGCGCCAAGGCTTAGGTCGGACACGTCCCCCGACAGGCCCATTTTCGACGAAAAAATATCCCGGAAAAGCAACCTAACAGCGATGTGTAGAAGCATAGCTGGAAACATTGCCGAGGTCTCGCACTTGCTGCATGAGCTCCTCGGTCTTGTCTCGCTTTTGCTGCATGAGCTCCTCGGTCTTCTGCTTCCGCTTGAGCTCCTCGGTCTCCGTCTGCTGATCAGCACAGCCCAGGGCCCGCAGTTCATGCAAAATGTCTTTGGGGATGCGGTCGCGATGGTCCGAGAAACGTTTGGCCAACTTGTTTTCGGCCCGTTCTTGTTCGGACGTTCCTTTATTTCGCTTCGGTATCCGGCCGAACTGCTTCACGTGCTCGACGAGCGTTTGCAGAGGACCGCTCAATGCTGCACGCTGAGGAGCAGCGCTGTTCCTTGCCGCAGGGTGAGGAGCACCGCTGTTCAATGCAGCGGGGTCAGGAGCACCGCCGCCAGACCGAGAACTATCAGCATGTCCTGGCATTAAGGTATGCAGTAGACGCTGCGCAGTTCCTTTGAAAGGAAATCTTCGAAAGCAGGGCTGTAGCCAAGAAGGCTACGGGGACGATGATGATGACGAAGATGATGAGTCTTGGAAGTCTGGGAAGTGGAAGAGCACGAAGTGGCGTACAGTTGGCTCCGGGCATTCAAAATGTGGCCCGGGAAATGGAAGAGCACGAAGTGGCCTACAGTTGGCTCCGGGCATTCAAAATGTGGCCCGGGAATGGAGTTCTGGGAAGTCCAAGAACACGAAATGGCCTACAGTTGGCTCCGGACATCCAAAAATGTGGCCCAGGAATGGAGTTCTGGGAAGTCGAAGAACACGTAGTGGCCTACAATTGGCTCCGGGCATCCAAAATGTTGCCCGGGAATGGAGTTCTGGGAAGTCGAAGAGCACGAAGTGGCCTACAGTTGGCTCCGACATTCAAAATGTGGCCCGGGAATGGAGTTCTGGGAGGTCGAAGAGCACGAAGTGTGCGACTGTTTGCTTAAAATGTAGCAATATCGAGGCTTTTCCTCTCAACCCTCGAAGCCAAAGGACCTGCAGTGCTTGCTCCTTCTCTGCCCTAGCATGCTGACTCCTGCACACGGGGGTCCCTGACCCCAGCAAATACAATCTACAACACGCCCCCTTGGAAGCTTGGCTACCCACTGAGTCGAGCTTTCAACTGACTCCCGAAAACTTGTCACGGTGGGGCGTCCCCCAAAAGACCTGCTGAGGCGTCCCTCAGGCTAAAGAAACGAACAACTGAAACTCTGCCCAGCAAAGAACTCAAACTTCGCTGGCTGGTCAGCAAGCTCAACTCAACTTCCAAGGGAAAGAAATAGCTCGAAACTCTGATATTAAGCATGATGGCAGGAGGAGAAAAGAAGAGAAAACAGAACGGCTCAAGGCAAGGCGCAGCCGCTCAAGGTCCTATCGACTGAGCCTCATTCACTGTCAGTTCAAAAGAAGTCCCTTGGCCTTGTCCACACGCACTTCAAGGAAGGCACCGTGCGCGTGGTCCTGGACTGGTTGGAATCGAGGGACCGCCCACTTCCACTTGTAGGTCATCTGGGACTGCGTGCTCACGTTCCTGGTAGGCTGACTCGGTCGCATCATAACCAGTGAGGCTGGCACGCCTGGAAGCGGATCCTCCATCTTGTCTGTGTGGGTGGTCTCCTCTGTCATCTCATTGGGCTCGGGCGAGACCAGGACCCAGTCCGAGTCCCGCATGCTGGCGTAGCGGAACCCCGCGTAGCCGCTGATGGCCGCCACGATCAGTGTCCAGACAGCCACCATCATCAGGAAACCTGTCCAGTCGCTCGTGGCCATGCCATCCCTGGAGCAGACCTCCGTGTCGTAGTAGTAGCTGCTCTGGTCGGCGACCTGGCCCTCGCAGCCCTGCAGGAGCGTCGCCGCCGCCGTGATCATAGCCAGGGCCGCCGAGCGGCTAGCACCGAGTGAGCTCGTAGAAGTTCTCGAGCTCCTGACCCGTGCTGCCGCCCCCACGTCGAAGTCCACCTCCTCCGACTGATGGTCACTCTCCGCGACCTGGCCCATGTCCGTGTAGATGCCGTTGAGCGTCCTGAGCTTGACGAAGCGATCGTGTCCAAGGATCTTCG